CCGTTCTAAAAGTGCGCTCGCATTTTTCGCGGCATACGCGAGATACAACACGGTAGAGAAATGTTCGTGGGCTTCAATGGCGCGACACACACGCCGTTGAACGTGCGTCCTAACATATAGTTGCGGAATAACAATCGGTCGCATTTGCTTGCACGAGGCGAATGCTGTAATTAAGCACGCGGGGCATTTGTAAGTTTGCACGCGCAATTTTTGATTACCATCCCATTAGGTGTACGCGTAACGAGCCCGGTAATAAATGTGCGGTACGTAACGTAGCAACTGCGATACATTGTTTGCGCGCACAAAATTACCAAAGTCGCGGACAAACCGCTCGTTATGCTCGTATTACACTAGCGACTCGCGACTGCGATTACGATTACATCGGCGACTACGACTGGCTGTTTCGAATTTTCATGGCTGCCTAGCCAGTGACAATCGCAGATGTAATCGCGATCGCAGTCGCGCGAGTCGGGGATGCTGGAGTGACGGCTGAACTCCGGCGGGATAATTGAACAGTTCAATGACATAATACGATACGAATTAGACTTCAGACCCCCATGTTTTTTTATATGAAAATGCTCTACTGTGCAGTCCACACACCGCTCTGGTGTTATTTTGTATGTAAAAGTCAATAATAATAATAACACACGCAAAAATTGTATGCGACTCTGTAAATCAAACCACTCCAGCATCCCCTTAAGGTAGTTGTTTCGCGACAGTAATGCTCAAAAGTTTCTTCCAGACAGGAACCAGCACTCAATTATTACAATGATATATCTTGGTGCAATATTGTTCTAAAGAATACACTTACGATTAATACATTAATACATAATATAAAATTCGAAAGATTATAGTTTGAGACGCTGTTGCCACATCTCTTACACTACACTCGTGTCTACTACATAATTCTTCCCATTTTTCAGTTTTAACTGTTTATATTGTTGAAACGGTTGTTCGTCCTATTTTACTTTATAGCACATTTGTTTCTCATGAATCTCACTCACCGTTAAGCTTGAAAAGAAAATAAAATGTTCCATCTGCGTTTGCAAACGTGAATATTAATATTTTAACACATAATAATGTGTGTAAATAATATATTTCACGTGTAATAATATTTTCAACGTGTTTTACACGTAATATTTCGTGTAACATAGCAAACTTTAACATTTTCTTTTAGAACTTTGAGACGGTCAATTTTAACTTAATTAGTCTTATTTTGTACGTATTTATGTAAAGAATAAACTGTAAAAATTTGAAACAATTCTCACATAACTGATTTTACGAAAGAACTACCTTAACGTCGCGCGATTTTCATTGTGACGACCTCAGCGACGCATTCGCACCGTCTGCCTCCGTTATTTTATTTTACACAATCGTCCGTACTTTGTAACGCGATTACAATTGGATCGTCAATTCTTGGTAAGATTTTATAGAGCGTACCGCGCGCTTCTAAGTACAGGAGACGAATATTGAGACGTATAATCCACGATATAAATTTAATGCTCCACACGACGCTTCAATTATCATAATACCGTTTCTCCTAAGTGATGTTAGTTTAACTAGATTATTCACAATTTGTTGTTTCACAATTATCTTATCCATTGTTGATACAAATGTACGGGAAATGTATCGCAAAATATACAGAGCGAAATCGACGTGTTTGCTCTAAGCCCATAAATTGTCTTGAGATATTAACAGCATACGATAGCGCTTTTCCCTGCGCCAAGCAATACGAGATATAAAAATTGAATCGTAGGTGGTACAATTACGATAATTGTATTTTCCTTCGTGAAGGATGGCAAGAAACGGCGCGCCTGCTCCGACAAAGCGACACTGTCATTCGCAACGCTATTGTACGCGCTCGTGTCGCGACCGATAATTCCGACGATAATATATCGAAATGAAACGTCAGTAAATTTAGTTTAAAGAAAAGAACGTCCGTTCGCGTCAATAAGCGCCGAATGAGTCAGAAGGAAAGGAGGTTTTCTTTATTTCCGAGCGCACACGAGAAATCGACCTTCGCCCCTTTGTTGGACTATAATTCGTCCACGCTCGCGCCGCCGTGGTGTTGCGAATTAAACATCAATTAGACACAAATCGAAACCGTTTTCGTCACCGATTTTATCGTCCGACGCGTTAAATATTCCGCGATTACTCGCGGCGATGACATAAAATTTCTGCCCTCCTGCCACGAAGGGAGCTCGTTTTTCTCCTCCAGGACACTCGCGTGTTCTCTCTTCCACCGTTTATGCACGTTCGCTCGAGAGAGGCGGAAAGGGACAGAAGAAGATACCGCTCGCGCAACGTCCGCTCGCGGAATTAATTTCTTTTCGATAGAATCTTAACGACGGCGCGCTTTCAGTCGCGTTACAACATTCGGAGGCGTCCGCTCGCTTTTATCGTCGCTTTACAATCGTAAAACTGTTTGCTCGGAATTTCGAGCGGGAGAGGAAGGGAGCGTCGTCTCTTCGCGGGCACAGGTGTTTGCTCGGTACTATCGGTCGATCGTCGTTAGACGAGCGACGGACTTTCAGAAGGCCGCGACGGGAGTTTACAGGTACGGGTCACACTCTCTCTCTCTCTCTTTTTCATTTCTTCTTTATTATTATTGCTATCTACCGCGAGGCCGCGATCTGCGTGCCGGACGATCGTACTTGAGCGTCAAGATTCGCGGGAGCGATTAACGCACAAGTTGTTGGCTTTTTTTTTTCCTTTCGTGTGTAACGATATCGCGAGAGCAATTGCAAGATGCGTGCGAGATTATGCGGCTGACGCTAATAAATGATGCCGCTCGTGACACTTTCTGCCTTCGATGAAACCGCATTTGCCGGGATATTACGATGAAATATAGTCTCCCCGCGGTTCTCTTATTTCCGCAACATATTTTGTTTTGCCGAAAATTCGCGCGGCGGAACGAGCGAAAGATTTCTGACGCGCATTCGCGAAGGCGAGCAAAAAATATTTAGCCGGCATCTGCTCGAAAGATATTAACCTTGTCAAAGATAGAGGCGATTTTCGGTTTGTTAGCACAGGTGAGTCGCTTGCATTTCTGCACGTTCATATGTTTTTCCTTTTGCATAAATCGACGCGTTTATTCCAGAATATTATTCACTTTTCGATAACCTCGCCTCAACACTCTTGTAGAATAACCGGAAGGAATCGGTTCGGAAAGAGAAATTGAAAATATGAAGATCGTATGGCTTAATTTCTTGACCCTGTCATATCGATTGGGCATTGCTTCGCTTCTTTTAATGAGCACCGTGCGCCTGTAGTCTTATAATCCTTTTTTTAATACCCTAGGTTTTCGTATAGAAAGTGTGTGGCAAGTAATCGATTACCTTCTTTCGCTCACGACGTCTCGCGATTATCGATGTCTCCTTTAATTTCCCTACTAATTTTTCTCGAAGACTGCGTCAAACGTATCGATTATTTGTCAGCCGTCACATATCAGTTTCGCGGACGTGACGGCACACTTCGATTGCTTATTTTACTTGTAAAATAATTGCTCTTAATTGCACTTTGTACCTGAACGTGTGCCAAGTTAAGGTGTGACAACCGGTTGTCTTCGGGCAGAGCCGAGCCAAGACTTTAGTCATCGCTGTCAGACGCGCAAGTGCCCTATTGCCGACTGACGCCACGATTTATTGGTTGATTCAGTTGCGTTTGGTTAACCTTGGTTCATTATTCCGGACCGCTCGCCCCGGTTCTCTTTCCCGCGCGACAATTTCGAATTTGCAACGTGTGCACTCGTAATTCCCCGCCTCGCATCCGACGGCGTGGCTAATCGCCGATCGAAAACTAATGAGTTCATCGATTGATTTCGAATTAGAAACGCAACATCTCTTATTAGTCTTATCAATTGGACAGATGATAACATTACAGAATTCCCGAAAGCTTCCCGACGTACGCACAAAGCGCGAATTACACTTTCTTGTTCGACATGTTAATTGATTAACAAAATTTATACTCGTTGAGGAGGTGTTTGAGAAGAATTTCTATCGATCCGTTTCAGTTATACTCGTTGAGGAGGTGTTTGAGAAGAATTTCTATCTATCCGTTTCAGAAAGTTCTACGATTCCAGCTGATATTTCCGGACGTCCATAAGTTAGCGGAACGAAATGAGCGGAATCAATTAAAAAGCTTCTTCCAGATAGGAACCGGCACTCAATTATTACAATATCTTGATGCAATATTGTTCTAAAGAATACACTTACGATTAATACATTAATACATAATATAAAATTCGAAAGATTATAGTTTGAGACGCTGTTGCCACATCTCTTACACTACACTCGTGTCTACTACATAATTCTTCCCATTTTTCAGTTTTAACTGTTTACATTGTTGAAACGGTTGTTCGTCCTATTTTACTTTATAGCACATTTGTTTCTCATGAATCTCACTCACCGTTAAGCTTGAAAAGAAAATAAAATGTGCCATCTGCGTTTGCAAACGTGAATATTAATATTTTAACACATAATAATGTGTGTAAATAATATATTTCACGTGTAATAATATTACAACGAATGATATTGTTGCGTGTAATAATATTTTCAACGTGTTTTACACGTAATATTTCGTGTAACATAGCAAACTTTAACGTTTTCTTTTAGAACTTTGAGACGGTCAATTTTAATTCAATTGGTCTTATTTTGTACGTGTTGTAAAGAATGAACTGTAAAAATTTGAGACAATTGTCACATAAATGATTTTACGAAATAACTATCTTAATATCTTCATTTGTTGCCTACTTATAAGTTTTTTCTTCGGCAACTTTTCAGCAACAAATGAGTACCAAATAAAAATATCATTTAAAATTGATTCCGCTCATTATGTTTCGCTCACTGATAGGACGTTGTTCGAGGTCCGCTTAGAGTTACGAAACACTCCTTTGAATCACTTGCTAGAGTACCTTCCGAGGATCAATGTCATAATTATAATCGGACGAAAGTGCAACGACATATACTGATCCCGGCACTGCCCTCGATTCTGTGTTACAGGTGAGAAGCCGCACAAGTGCATCGTGTGCGGCAAGGCGTTCTCCCAGAGCAGCAACCTGATCACGCACATGCGTAAGCACACTGGTTACAAGCCGTTTCAGTGCGGCCTCTGCGACAAGGCGTTCCAGAGGAAGGTCGATTTACGTAGACACCGGGAAGGCCAGCATCCGGCGGCGCCGGCGCTCGATTATCGCTCGCTGCAGGTGCCACCGCAGCAGCAGCAACACCAGCAGCCAAATGGCAACCGGCACTCGCCGATACCCCCGCACTCGGCATCCTCCGCGGGTTACCACGCGGTGATATCTGTGCCCGGCAGTAGCTGAGACCTGTTCATCTGACAGACGCTTCGTCCGTGAACGCGCACCAAGTCCTCGAACCGAGCGGTATGTATCTCGTTGGTTGGGGAGGGGCAATACTGCGAGTACTCGCGAGATCGGCAGCCGGAAGCGAGATTTCGTAGCTACTTTAACTTCGACGGAGTTGGCTGGACGGAGTGACGTATATTTGAATTAGTAGACGTATCGCTGAGGCGAGCGACACCCGTACAAATTCGGCGTCTCTTATTAAATTTAGTCACTGCCCTGGTAGAAATTTTTTACTGGCACGGCACCGCTGACAAGCGCCATCCGCGAAATCATCGTTTGCCTCGCTGGCGCCGCAGCTTTGGATTTTGCGCGGTGCTGGGCATGACGCCCAGATACCAACAAGTATCGTATGGTACAGACGCGAGACTAGTAAATTATTGACGTGGCACTCGTGTGACAGAGATTTCTATGAATTTAATACACTCTGTTGTACACTCTAAATTTGTTACTTGGAATGATCCGGACAAACTAGAGTCCCTGTAGTAAGAGTCTGGCGAGAAATATTCTCCGTTTGATTGGTTCGACGCAAAATGGCGGAACCAATAAGGTGTCTCGAATCTGTACTCATACCTCCCAGATGAAAGCCGCTACGTCCATGGTGGGGGAGCCGCCGAGCGCCTCGGCTGTCCTCGGAGAGCAGAGCGCGACAGAGCCACGCTCTGTCTCACTCTCTCGCACGCTGTGCGTTTCTGACAGACGCCATTTTGCGTCAACCTTTGCCAGACTCTTACTACAGGGACTCTAGGGACCAAACCAATGTTTGAATCGATAAGTAAGAGATTGGTACTGCAATAAGAAATCTAAAAAAAAACTCCTGCGCGAGAAAAGAATTGGACTACGTCTGCCGATGCGTGATTTTACTTACGAGTTCGGCGCCTGGCCAAATAATATATTATTTAATTGAAAGATATTACGCTACAGACAACAGTTCTCTTTTTCATCAAATAATGCAGATTGTTTGAATAAAACGACAAAATAATTATTCAAACAAATAATGTTATTTCAATGAGACAAATTTCAATTCATTATAAGTAGGAATATTAAACCTAAACCTTTTTCTTTATGTGCTTTACGAAAGAGAATATTTTCAACTATTCAGATATTGAAGGCAAATCTATAATTAAACACCATCAGTTTTCAATAGCTTCATAGATTTTTCGTCGATACGGAGACTCATATGTAGTAATACTACGCCATATCCATATCAGGTGCGAATGTGGCCCTGGCGTGGATCTTTCTAGTTTTGAAAATAAGACTTTGGCGTGTGAAACTTGCACGGCGCTGACCAGTGTCATGTCAATTTCTACCAGGGTATGCGAGATTGAATACAGTGAAGCAAGCTCGAGTCCCGAAAATGTACAACTTCTCGAATCAGAGTAGGAGAAAGATCTCAGTGCTACGCGCTTTATAC